ATTCAATATCTCTAAAGAAAAAGACAAAAAAAGTTCCTATATGTATGCTGCATAAACTGTCACTCACTAGGAGAACCCTGTTACAGTAAAAGAACATGAGCTTTGAAATCAGACAGAACTGAATTTGTGTCCTGGCTCTGTCACTTACCAGCTAAGTGGTATAGATTCTTTCTAAGGGCTATTTCCTTCACCTTAAAGTGGGAATAACACTTCATTGAGCTGAATTAAGTACTGCAAGTAAAATGGAGCATCTTGTACACAGTAAGAATTTAATAAATATTAGCTGTCATTATTATTCCTATCATCTTCCTCTAGAGACTCCTTTTTACCATGTTCTATTAGGTAAATAGACTTATACAAGAAATATCGGGCTTTGACATGAAAAACACAATAGATGTTAGTTTATTCATTTTAAGGAGCAGGAGTTGGGGAGTAATTACTGCTAGAGTCTGGTGGTGGCAGGAAGATCACCACTTAGGAGACAGTTCAAGAAACAGTGTGGTTCTCCATGCTTTAATGTGCACTTTCTGCCTCTCTGATTGATTAGGTAAGTTAAGCTTACAGAAATGACTTTTTTGGGCAGTGCTCTGTACATTTTCCTATCACACCACCCTGAATTTACTTGCCATGGGCTTCTTATTTTGAAATGGAAGTAATACAGATATCTAAAGATTTTATTTATGGTGGGATAAGGTAGTAGATGTTCATTTAGAATGTATAAGCCAAAGTTAAAATTTAGCAATAAAGAAATTAAAGAACTGTGAAATCATGTAGACAGAAACATAAAATTTCTTCAAATTGAGAAATCATTGCTTCACATCTCGCATTTTTTCTAATGTATTTATTAAAAGATAATTAGCTTAATTATATATTACGCATTGAATTAGATACACTTTGAAAGAATACAGAAGGTGACCTAAGCACACTGGGTGTGAAAAATTCTTAATTAATAATTAACGGTCCTAAAGAAATCTTCTAACAACACGGGGGAACCTCGAAACCATTATGGTCAGGGAAAGAAGTCAGACAAAAAAGAACATATAGGGCATGATTCAATTTATATGAAATATCCAGAAAAAAATAATTTATATATAGAGAAAGTAGATTAGTGGTTGCCTTGGAATGCGGAGTGACTGTAAATATGCATGAAGTTTCCTTTTGGGGTGACAGACTGTTCTAAAATTAGATTGTGGTGATGGTTGCACCACTGTGTAAATATAATTTATCATGGAAGTGTACACTTAAAATGTGTAAATTTTATGTATATAAATTATACCTTAATAAATCTGTTAATAAAAATAAATCAGAATAGATGGGTACTAGAAAAGTTGTTGTTACATGCTGAACAAAGTGAGAATTTTGAAGAGGAAATCTGCATCTACTGAGAATGAGTGCCTGAATAATACTCTTATTCTGAAGTAAGACCTATATCAATCAAAACCCTGAAAGTGCCATGCACATGTGGGAGATCTTTGGAATTTGGGAAGGCTTCACATCAGGGTGTTTGAATCTAAGGTAAATAAGGTATTTATTTTTTCTCCCAGGGTAAACATAAACTACAATGGGTACTAAAGGAGAAAGTGTTAGCTCTCCTGAGAGACATTTTGAGTATGAATAACCAACAGATGTGCCTTATAGAAGTAATGGGAGGTATGTGTCATATTTTGATAGATTCCAGGAAACTCTCCAGATTAGCTAGGTTATTAAGAACTACAACAGGATGACGCTAAGGTACATGGATCACTGAGGAGAAGGCATTAAACAGTGGCTCATGGTGAAGGGGCCCTGGCCTTCATTGTTGCTCAATGCTATTGCTGAGAAGGAGTAATATAGGGATATCCTATTTTGGTTCTATTTCTGCTCTATTGAGTTTTATTTTACTTTCTATTTTTTTTTCTTCTAAGAAAGCAACATTTAGGTAAGAACCCCTGCTTTAAACATTCTGGATATGTACTCTGGCTCTTAATTCAATAAACATGATCTTTAAACAAAAGAGACCCAAGTAAATAAAAGAATAGCCCAATATTATTCATTAACTTTGAAATGATTCCTCTACCGTCAATAGATGATGAATAGATATGAAAGGGTGTTAGTATGTGTCTTGAAGGTAAAGACCATCTATAACTCTGCAATAGACAAAAGCACACCGCTTGGCACATCTAATAAATGTTTGCTAAAATGGGAATGAAAGTATCATATAAACAATAAAAATAATATAAGTGTATGTAAAAGATTACATTATTTTTACAGTAAAAGTAATCCTGACAATTTAAATCTGACTGATAAGACATCACCTTCAAGAAAGGCTTTATAATAGTTAAAGAAGCATGAATTATATTTAACTTGTTAAAACTGGAGAAAAGTGAGAAGGAACTGTAAGCTTCCAATCTAGGGGGGAAAAACTAAATCTGTGGTGGCTATCCCATTACAAATTCCTAAGGATCTAAGATAGGTAATGTTATAAGTGGAAAATGTTGGATACATTTACACTAACTCTAAAAGATAAACATTACATCTGGGCCAATGAAATACCCTGCTTTATGAGACTAGTAAGTAAGTATAGACAATCTTTTTTTTTTTTTTTGGCAGCTGGCCAGTATGTATATACACCATCTTTTAATTAAAAAGAAAAAATATAATTATTCATTAAAAATAATTAGGTATATGTGCTATTATGAAAGGTTCTCCAAGATGTACTAGGAAGTGAAAAAAGTGAGGTGAGAAAATGAACGGTTTGATTCCTTTTTTTAAACAAAAAAACCAAAACCAACCAAACAAAAAGATAATTTTATCTGTATATGTTGGCAATAATGCATGACTCCCCTACACACCCACTCTGCTCTCCAGGAAGGAAACCAACTGTTCAGGGAAATGGGGCGGAGGTGGGAAAGGGAGCTCTTCCTTTGCATTTTGTACCTTTCTGTAATATCTAAATTTTCTAATAATGTGCATGTGTTACTTTTATTTAAGAAAGTGTGCATTTGCTTGGTGGAATTTTGGACCAATATGATTTTTTTTTAATCATTTGCAATAGTAGAAAGACTATTAATAAAAGCTCCTAAGGGTCATGTTAATGTTTTATTAATGTTGCTGCCCGTGATGTTGCCTGGCACAGTAACTTTGTATGTCAAGATGATCAACAAACTTTTGTTATATTGAAAAAAATATATATATATGTTATTAAAGATATTTAAAAAGTAAATTTAAACAAAACAAACAGCTGTCTCCATTGTCTGAAGCAAGGCTGAGTAAGGCGCAGGAGTTTATACTGGCTGGACAGTATAAGGATGGCTCATCTGCAATTTGTGGCCAGGATAATGCAATTTACATATACTTCCTGAACTAACAAGTCCCTATGCACCAGAAATAATTTCCTGTTAAGATACAGATTTAGAAAATATCTAAGAATCAATGTGATCCACCCTCTTTACCCCCTCTGTCAATTATCAATGCAGTGCCTCTTTTCTCCAAATCTACCCTTCTTTGCCCTACTTTGTGATAATGGAACTGGACATTATAAACATTTCACCTTTGCCAGCTTTGTCAGTAAAAGGTGCTAAAGGGACATTGAAGTAGGAAGTATCTTCTCTTCCTGGTTTTGGTGTGCTTTTTCCTTCTTGATCCTGTTGCATGCACCTGCTACTGGTGTGTGGCACACCCAGAGGTGCTCCGTATATATGAAGTTTCAGTGGTACCCCAGCTGGTGGCTTCCTACCAAGTTTCACTGGCACCCTAGAAGCTTCAATGGCTTCTTATTGGGTGGCTTTCCAGCAAGCTTTGCCAGCACTCTAGGAGATGGTTTCCTTCTTGTCAGTCCTTGTCTGTGGCACCTCAGTGAACTTCTATGCCATCCAGGGGCCACAGCAACACCTCTCCAACAAGATCTGAATCAGCCTAGATCTGGGGACCCTCTTCCAATTTTGGTCCCTTCTTGGGTACTCTGCCTGAGCCCTAGAGGTAATAACTGCTCCCTATATTCTATTCCTGTATTCTTTAGACTTCTCTTTACCTCTTAGTTACTGTACTATTTAATAACTCCTTGTATTAAATTTACTATTCAAATTACTGGTGTGGTTTTTGACTCCTGACTGGACTTTGACTGATTTACCTCCAAACCAAACCACACCACAACAAACCAAACCAAACCAAACCAAACAAAGCCAAGCCAAGACAACAACAAATAGTCAAATCTGCAATGCCACCCCTAAAACACAAGTCTGTATTATTAAGTTTGATAGTACAGAAAAACAACATGGAATTTTGCCAAACTTGTTAACTTATTGCCTCCTGAAGCCGACTGTGCATATGGCTGAACAGTTAGTCAGCCTGTTGTCACAAGTCTTACTGTTTCCTATTGCACATTTCAGAAGGATGTGTTAAATGCATTGTTCAGAGTGTGGTTTTCTAATTCTTTACAAGTCCTTCACAGGAAAAGAGAGAATTTGCTTGATTTGTTTGCCATAAGAACTAACCTATTTATGAAAAGACATGGATAGAAGAACTGTAAAAACAACAGAATTTTAAAAATTACTTCGAACATTCTAGAAAATCTCAGAAGGTTCATAGAAATGTCCAGTGAAGTTAAACTCTGATTTCTGCCTCAATTGACATCATTCATTTATTCATTTAATAAATAAATACTGAGTGGCACTGGGATATACCAACAAAGAAAACAGACAATATGCCAGCCTCATGGAATTTATTTTCTGTGGTAGGGGAAAAACAAATATATAAGTAGGTTGATACATAACATAATTTCAGGTGTTATAAAGTACTATAAAGAAACAAAGTAGGGACGAGTGGGTGCTATTTTAGGAGATGATTTAGTGCTCTATATTAAATTTCCTATACATAGCATGCCATAAATGTTATAATAAATATAACCACAGATATGTCTTAGGTATACTAAGAAGACAAGGTTCATGTAATTCCATGATAAATCAAACTGAATATATTTATATAAATCATAACAAGCTTATATATAGACCAATGAAACTTACCCTATAAAAAGCACTGGTCAAAGGGAGTAACGCTGCAGCAATGTTGTACTCTTCTAAACTTGAACAATCCTTAAGCAAAACAAAGACAAATGAGCATCATTAGGATATTTACCAGAAATCACAAATATCTCATATATGAAAACCAAAACCTGGGATACAATTCTTACTGTCCTGTAGGGTTTTTGCTTTAATTCCAAATTATCACTAAAGCATAGTTAACTAAGATTTGGGGAAAAAAATTGTTCCTGAAGCACATTCTTTTGGAAATGACGTAAAAACACATCTGAGAAAGATATCGTTTTCATACATGATTAGTAAGCAGCTATCCTTCCTGCTCAAAGATTGTGTTAAAAGCTGTGTAACTTACACAACATTTTTTTTTTGGAGAGTGTTTTAGTATATTTAACTACTGTACTTCACTGAGTCTAAGACTTGTTCCTGCTCAAAGATTGTGTTAAAAGCTGTGTAATTTACACAACATTTTTTTTTTTGGAGAGTGTTTTAGTATATTTAACTACTGTACTTCACTGAGTCTAAGACTTGGGTTTTTTTTTTCTTCATATTTTAACATCTCTGAGGTGGGGATGCATCTTATAATTGATTGGAAGTATTTTTTCTTTCTTAGTGTTACATACAAAGGGCACTTTGTTATTGATCAGGTAAGAAATATCGCTGATGTTAAAAACATTGATTGAAATGTTACTGGGGAATAGGACAGTGAGAAAATCTCAGTGGGAATGTAAAATGTTGCAGCTGCTGTAGAAAACAATATGGTATTTCCTCAAAAAAAAGAAAAAGAAAACTAGAATTACTATAAGTTCCAGCAATTCTACTTCTGGGTATATACCCAAATAAACTGAAAACAAGGACTAGCCGATATTTGTACACTCAGGTTCATAGTGGCATTATTCACAATAGCCAAAAGGTAGAAGCAACCCAAGTGGTGTGTATGTGTGTGTACACACACTGATGTATTATTCAGTCTCAAAAAGGAAGTACACATGCTACAACATGGATGAACCTTGAGGACGTTACGTTAGGTGGATATTTGTAAATAGTCATACTAATGGTCCTTCCTCTGTCTGGCAGTGGGGCACAGTGTGAGCCACAGGGAGGCCAGAACCTAGAACAGTACCTAAGGACAGCATAAGCTGCAACTGACCTTCTTTCTAGAGGGTCAGGTATAGTGATTAAAGCCCCAAACTTAGACAGTGTAGCTATCTTCATCAAAACACAAATTCCCCATCCATCACTTATTCATATATTTGTATAAATTGACTTTAAACTCAGATCTGGGCCTAAGATATTGATTATTCTAGTACAATTTCTCCCTTTCCAGATAAGAGAAAAGAGGCACAGAAGTCAGCTGTAGAGCCACGACTGGAGTCCAGATTTATTTACCTATCAGTGTGGTGTTCTTTCCTCTAGACACTGCTTTTGTACTTGACTGCTTTCCTCCTATTCTTGACGTAGAGGATATGAGTCTTTTGAGCTTCCAGTACTAATTTTGGAGTGGGAGGGAGGGAGGGAGAAAGGGAGGGTAAAGAGAATAGGCTGAACAGGATAGTGAGAGGCTTAGGGCTGCATAAGTGCGGTGGTGTCAGGGACAAGGGCTCTGGAAAACAGGAGGAAGAGTCAGAAGGCAAAGTGGGAATATACGATAGACAACCCTGGCTTATTTCAAAATACGACTGGGCTTGGCAGAGCCAGCAGTGGGGATGGGGAGGGTGCAGTACTGCCCTGAGAAAAAAAGGAAGAGATTGTCTTTCATAAGTCATGGCCACCTACTCTAAAGCCAGTCTTGTCTAGCATGAGTACATTTGATACTAAAAGGGTTCTTAATTGAACTTCATACATTGTCAGTTCTGAAAAACACAGTTTTAGAATGCAATGAATGTTCAACTCCAATAAGTATTACAATAATACTGGGTTATAAGAGTTTTTATAGGGGGCAGGGAGAGGAGTTGGGGGAGATTTTCAAACTGTTTTGCAAATGTTGTCTCGTAGAGTATTGATAGCTATTACCTGGGGGGAAATTGGGGAAATGCTGAGTAAACAAAAATAAACAAGATTTTTCTTTCTTTCTTTTTTCTTGGTAAAACCCCCCAAAACCAGGCACACTGTGCCAGTGCACTAAAGCATAGTTAACTAAGATTTGGGGAAAAAAATTGTTCCTGAAGCACATTCTTTTGGAAATGACGTAAAAACACATCTGAGAAAGATATCGTTTTCATACATGATTAGTAAGCAGCTATCCGTCCTGCTCAAAGATTGTGTTAAAAGCTGTGTAATTTACACAACATTTTTTTTTTGGAGAGTGTTTTAGTATATTTAACTACTGTACTTCACTGAGTCTAAGACTTGGGTTTTTTTTTTCTTCATATTTTAACATCTCTGAGGTGGGGATGCATCTTATAATTGATTGGAAGTATTTTTTCTTTCTTAGTGTTACATACAAAGGGCACTTTGTTATTGATCAGGTAAGAAATATCGCTGATGTTAAAAACATTGATTGAAATGTTACTGGGGAATAGGACAGTGAGAAAATCTCAGTGGGAATGTAAAATGTTGCAGCTGCTGTAGAAAACAATATGGTATTTCCTCAAAAAAAAGAAAAAGAAAACTAGAATTACTATAAGTTCCAGCAATTCTACTTCTGGGTATATACCCAAATAAACTGAAAACAAGGACTAGCCGATATTTGTACACTCAGGTTCATAGTGGCATTATTCACAATAGCCAAAAGGTAGAAGCAACCCAAGTGGTGTGTATGTGTGTGTACACACACTGATGTATTATTCAGTCTCAAAAAGGAAGGACACATGCTACAACAGCTGCTGCGAAAGCGGCTATAAGCCACAACAACCACGCAGATGGTCCGCCAGCCACTGGAGTGCATTGACACAAGGAGAGTCACCAGCAGAGATAAAGAAAAGAAGAGGATGTCTCTCTCCACAAAGCTCATTTCAGAGTGACAGAAGAAGCATCTGCTCTATAATAATATTGGGGGACCTGACCACACCTCTCAGCATTGGACAGATCATCTAGGCAATAAATCCACAGAGTAACAATTACTCTTTCAAAAGGACAGAAGAAATCTAGGGTAATTAGAGGGGAGAGGGGAGATAGAAAGGGGGATGGGGAGAGACTGGAAAAGGGGCATAACAATTTGTATGAAAACAGCAGAAATTCTCAGGGTTCTTAACTGTGACTCTATGAGAGGAATTTGGTAGGCAGCATTTTCAAACCTAATTCACTAACAACATATATGTATATACCTTTTGGTGATGGCCAGCATAGAGACCCAAACCCTTGACCTTGGCGTTACAAGGCCACGCTCTAACAAACTGAGCTAACCAGCAAACCGAGAATGTGTGTGTGTGTTTATATATATATATATATACATGTATTTTTTTGTGTGTGGCTGGCCAACATGGGAATCTGAAGCTGTGACCTTGGTGTTATAAGGCTATGCTCTAACCAACTGAGCTAACTGGCCACCACCCAAAAATATTTTTAAAGAATTTAGTTGTAGAATATATTTTGGAAAATGATGACTTAAGATCAAAAACCTACTGAGAGAATTCCAACCAAAAGATCATTTTAAAACTTAGCTATAGACTTTTATTTCCAGACTTATGGTTGTTTTCATATTTGGATAAGCGCTTTTGCTAAAAAAAAAAAGTAGAAAATGTTGGCTAAAATATTTAAAAATTATTAATGCAAAGCAATAAATTGGCAAGAAAATAAGAAATTCTTAGATGAAAATATAAATTAAGTGGCAACTTTGAGAGAGAAATAGAGCACTAAGGCTGAATTTTATGTCAAGAACAGTTGGTAAGCAAATTTGAGTACTGGTTTTGAACATAAGGGACTCAGGGGATAGGAGATAAATCCCAGCACTTGCTTAAGATAGGAAATCCATTAGGAGAACTACCATAAAGCTGGAACCCCTAGAGTGACCTAGGACACCAGATGGAAAGTCTGGGATATATTAAGCAGAGAAAGTGATACACATGTGGGTAAATCTAAACATATATTGACTGCATAAAACAATGACAATTCTGTCTTTTGGTAGTAAAAAATTTAAGATACAACTAAAATATACAATCAAGGTAGGACAGACTTTGTAAGGTGGTACACTGGAGTTGAACTTTGATAATTTAAGTGAGCATTTAAAAATTTCTGTACTATCACCAAAGGAATAAAGAGGAAAAAAAAAAATTGAGTGATAGAAAAAAAAAAAAGAAAAGAAAAGAAAAAACAACCTGCAACTCAAAGGAAAACAAGAAAGAAGAAAAAAGGAAACCCAGAAAAAGGAAACAATCAGAAAAGAACAAAATAAAATTATAGAAATAAATACAAATACCATAGCACAAATGGACCAAATGTTCTGGTTAAAAGACAAAGATTGTCACTGAACCAAAAACCTGATTCCAAACACTTGTTGTTTAAAAAAACTTATTTGGGGCCGGCCCGGTGGTGCAATGGAGAGTGCGCTGCTTGGGAGTGTGGCGGCGCTCCCGCCGAGGGTTCGGATCCCATGTGGAGACAGGTTCCCGCTCACTGGCTGAGCATGGTGCGGGAGCAACACCGAGGGTTGCGATCCCGTTACCGGTCAGTAAAAAAGACAAAAAGGGAAAAAAAACCCCAAAAAACAAAAAACTTATTTGTATGTAAGGATACACAAAAGTTAAAAGGATGAAAAATATGTACCAGCAAACTACCAAAAGAAGTTGGTGTAGGTATTTCAATAATCAGCCAAAATAATCTTTAAGGCAAAAAGAATTACTAGAGATAAAAAAGCATTACATAATGATAAATTGCTCAATTTACCAGAGATTTTTTTCCCAACAATTTTGAAAGTATATAAACTTAGTGACTTAGCCTAAAAACATACAAAGCAAAAATTGACAGACATAAAAAAAAGATAAAAAGATAAATTCACAATCATACTGAAAGGTTTTAATATACATTTTTCAGTAATTGATAGATCAAGCAGGTAGGAAAATCAGTAATCCTACAGATTTAAAGAAATACTTCAAAAGCTAGACCTAATGAATATATAC